TCTATTCCAAATTAATGACTGCTCTGTATCTTTTTTTTTTTTTTTGAGACAGAGTCTCACTTTGTTGCCCAGGCTAGAGTGAGTGCCGTGGCATCAGCCTGGCTCACAGCAACCTCAATCTCTGGGGCTCAGCGATCCTACTGCCTCAGCCTCCCGAGTAGCTGGGACTACAGGCATGCGCCACCATGCCCGGCTAATTTTTTGTATATATATTTTTAGTTGGTCAATTAATTTTTCTATTTTTGGTAGAGACGGGGTCTCGCTCAGGCTGGTTTCGAACTCCTGACCTTGAGCAATCCGCCCGCCTCGGCCTCCCAAAGTGCTAGGATTACAGGCGTGAGCCACCACGCCCGGCCTGTATTCTTTATTGTTAAAAGTATTGTGATAGCCAGCTTCCAAAGTGGTCCCAACAATTCTCATCTCTGATTTTCACTCCCTTGCACTTAGCCATCATGTCGAATTAACTAGGTGATTTAGTGAAGAGACACCACTCTTCTAGTGAGGTGATTTCCAGAGTGTTGAACCGAAGTCTTGATTCTTCTTGCTGATGTGAGAAGAGAATGTGAAGGAGAATGTGAAGGATGGAGTAATGATAAACATGAGGGAAACGGGAATTGATGGTTTGGAAAATTGTCAGCCTCTTTAGTAAGTGAATGATGCAAGAATTGAGAAATGGTTTTCAGGCATAGCTTAAGTTCAGAGCATTGGCAGGAAAACAAGGTGTAAAGATGAACTTGAGGGTGTGGCTGTAAAATTCTTCAAATTCTTAGAAAGATCCTAGGTGGTGCCTTGGAAATCTGTCCAGTCCAGCAATGGAGCTTCTAAGAAGCCTGAGTGTGGTATTCTTCAGTCATCTCAGTAGAAGCCCAAGGTAGAGAAGGGCTTCTGTTGCAGAGATTTGTGGGCGTGGCTATTGTCCAATGGAATGAACCCCAATAAGATTCACAGAAGACCTGTAGTATATTTGAGAGAATTGTGTATGTGGAGACACCACCACTTTAGTCCCTATACTAAAAGGGACAGAGAATTATAACATTGAGACCTTTACTTTCCCCAAGCTTCTATGGGTAGGAAATGGATTGAAAAAGCTACACAGCTTCAAACACAGGCTATTTTTTAATGTCAAGGAAAGATGTTTTTTAGGGTGGAACCAAGAATCCAGTGGGTGGAATCAAAAACCCTGAAGTATTCCCTGGCCTGCAGTCCTAATGAAGGAATTGCCAGCCTGTGCTTTGCACAATTTCAGAATTTGCATGGACCAGTGACTCACACCTGTGTTCTTTTCATTTCTCCACACTTGACCTGGAGTGTCTATGGTGATTTTCTATCCTACTGTTGTGTGTTGGGGCGTGTGAAGGACCAGTAATTTGTCTTTTGGTTACTTGGCATTCAAGTAGAGGAATGGTACTCGAGGGCCACTCTTAAGAAATTGCACCTGAGGTGCCTCACACACACCTGGTCTGACTTAGATGGTAGCCAATCCCCAAGAAAGCTCCAGTGAGCCTCATCTCCTGCTACTTGTGTTCTGTGAGTCCTCTCTACACTGAATAGGGCTGACCTGTATAACCAGGAGGACATTGAGGAGATGATAGAATGTGACTTCAGAAGCCAGATCATAAGACTTTGCAACTTTCATCTTGCTCTCTCTTGGATCGATGGCTCTATCACACAGCCCTTTGGAGATGTCCGTTTGGTAAAGAACTGAGGCTTCCTGTCAACAGCCAGCCCTGATTTGCCAGCCAGATGAATGAGCCACCTTGGAAACTGCTCTTCCAAGCTCCAGGAAGGCCTCTGGATGACTGCAGTCTGGGCTGACATCTGGACTGCAATCCGATGAGTGGTTCCCTGAGGCAGAGCCATCCAGCTCAGGCTACTCCCGAATTACTGACCTTCAGAAACTATAAAATCATTAACAAGTGTCTTGTCTTCAGCTGCTAAATTTTGAGCTAATTTGCTATGCAGCAGTGGATCACTAATAGAGGTACCACAGTGAATAAATACGAAGCTTGACAATCTGTAGACTCGCGTGGCTCCTCTTCCTACCTCACCTGTTAGTAAGTACTGCTGTTCCTGATCAGCTAGCTATCTTACCCCAGCTGCCTCCACCCACACCTGGTAGGACTGCTTTATAATTCATTCAAAGCTAAGGGCCGGAGAGGACGTTGGGGAAAATATGAAAATCTTAAGTCATCTAGTTTTCTTGTTCATATAGCATCTGCCTTTATTCATAGTCATAGGAAAATTTAAAGGTAAAAGGAGCTACTAGGTATTTTTCAGATTCAACTGTTTTTGTTGTTTTGTTGTTTTTGAGAAGCCATTTTTGGTTCTGAAAGTATAGGGATTACAGATATTCAGAGCAGGATTTTGACATGAACTATTTTATGTAAGTTGGGCTATGAAATATTTGTGTGATAGGTTGGGCCTAGGAGGTTGGGCCTCACTCCTCTTGGGAAAAGGAGTGTTTGTTCTTGATAATGGGTTATAGATCCACAAACTGCTCATTTCACAGATGAAGAAAACAGAGCCAGAAAGCTTAACAATCTTTCCAAAGTCACATAATTGGTTAGCAAGGCTAACTTGGAGTCCTGGCTACCAGTCCAATTAGATAATATTTATTTTAGTTTGCCCTTTATTTTTACTCTTATTTTTGCTAGTTTCAAGTGAAAATGATTTTATTAAATGAGGACTAAATGTTTCCCACTGGGTGTGGCTTCTTGATGTCTCAACAGACATGAAAATCTTATAATTTTCTATATCTCCTTAGGCAACTCTCTGCCTGAGTCCTTTGAAATTGCAAACAATGAATTACCAGTGGGCTCAAGTCCAGTAAGCATGATTTAAGTTGCAGTTCTGATCTTAGTACAACCTGTTCCTGCTGCACAGGCCATGTGTGACTGTGCTTACTAAGTTTTTCTGTTTTAAACCTGGACATCATTGAATTGTTTACAAGATATTTTGATTTTTTTAGTTAAAATAAAGACTTTAAGACTAGAATTTAATCATATTAATTATATTTTTCTTGAACTTTTTCTATAAGTAAGTATACTCACTTTAGATTTTAAGTGGTTTCTTTCTAAATACTTAACATGATTTCTGAGCAGTGTGTGGCTTTATTTATCCTTATCAACCTGTACATATTTGTCAGACAGATGAATGCTGATTATGTTTGTATCAATATGTGAAGAATTGTTTTGTCTTTCAGTTCAGTAAAGTTACTTTTAGTTTAACTTTGTTTTAATATTTTAAAATACTTTAAACATTCAGAACCAAATTGAATTGGTGGGGAGACTTCTAATGATTTGTTTTTCCTTTCTGGACATGAGATTTGCTTCCTGTAAAACTTAGGGCATTGATACACCAAACCATTTGTTCTTCTTCTTAGAGGGCCAGTTTTAGAACCATTAATTGGTATCATTCGATAATTACAGATAGTATAGTTTTTAGAAACTGTGAGCTTAACAAAATTATCACTTCCTGTTCCTCTTGGAACTTTGCCAATACATTATTTCTTCTTTTTCTGCATGAAGTCAAAGTCAAACATCTCTCATTGAGCTGCTCAATTTTTGACTTACAAATTTCTTTAATCTTTGAGGGATCTTATTTATAATAATTCATGGCTTTCAGTTGCCAGTTAGGTGGTTCACACTACCTTTTTTGCTGATAGTAGCCTGGAATAACCTCCCACCTCTACACATAGTGGCTTTTTTTATTTTTTTAAATGTCCCTTTCCCTAGCAATCAGTGTTGCTTTTCTCTTGCCACACCTTCTCTCGCACTTTCCCTAAATCCCCTCACTCTCCAAGAACCCAAACTGTTGAATTTAGCCTCTTTATCTTTGTTTTCTTAAATCATTTCCTCCTATTTTGCAATATCGCCCTGACTTTTCTTCCTGTGGGAGTGATTGCCTTTCTCCAAGTGGCAGGTTTGTCTTCTGGTCTGTGAAAGTCAGCTCTGAGGGAGGCAGAAGAGGTTCCAGGGAGCCGCTGGAGGCTCCCGCCACAGAGGTGGCACTGCCAGCAGGCTTCACTGGACCGATGTGTGTTGGCATGCTGGGAGGCCGTCCCTTTACCTGAGAGCCTTAACAAAGCGAGTGTGGAAGAGCTCACGTGGGATCGGCACAAGCTCAACCCCATAAAGTGTTCTCCTTTTTCAGAGTAGTAAAGATGAAGCCTGAGCTAATTTTGGTAACCAAATAAATGCACGACTCTGAAATGTAGCTGACTGTAAAATAGAATATATTGTAATCTGTGTTTGTGCAGGAGTTTACATTAATGAAAAGCATTGGTTTGTGAATGGAGGATTTTGGTTTTGAAATCAGATACGAGCACAACCTTGGAGGTAGGGGATAGATTTTCATTTTTTGGAAGCAGCTCTTGAGGTAGGTGCAGGGTGAGTAATGTGCCACACAGTGCGAGTCAGCCAATGAGCACTGGGCTTCTCCTCGGTCCTATGGTATAGTTTCCCCGTCTGTCAAGAGCTGGCCCGGCAAACAAACCCAGATTCCAGGTGTGGTATTCCACAGCCGTTCTGTAATTTGTAATCATAGAAACAGAATGTTCCTCCTCTCATTTCTTCCCTGCCAACAGTTTCTGGGTGGGTGCATGTCAGTAGCTGGAGTTATTTTTAAAGAGGAGAGGTGAGGCTTGTCGTGCGAAGCTGGGAAGAGGGCGTTTGTTTGCAGAGCAGCGCTGACATCAAAGTGTAGATTACTGCTCAGTGGCTAGGCACTTGTCCTATAACAGGTAATGTTTAACGTGCCAGTCCCAAAGATCACAGAAACAGCGTAGCCCAGGCATCAGATAGCACTACCGTTCGTGCTGTGAAAGCCTGAAAGGCTGTATGTGCCCCATGTATTTTTTTTTTTCAAATATACATATGCATCGGTCTTGCTGCCGCTTCTTTTGCTGACTGTAATTGGACTTTGAAGCTGTGAAGTTATAAAAATTTGTAACCTTTGAGAGAGAGCTCGGCTAAGCAATCACTTTCCACTTCTTTTCACAGGATAATATAAACGTTTTTTTGAAAGCTTGTGAACAGATTGGATTGAAAGAAGCCCAGCTTTTTCATCCTGGGGATCTTCAGGATTTATCAAATCGAGTCACTGTCAAGTAAGTTTCACTGGTTCGTTAGATATATACATAGTTAAATTTAGGACTCGGTAGCTTAAGAGAAAAGAATTGCTGAGAGTTCGTGATTACAGAAAAATTGTTCCTTGCTCTGTATCTTCCTCTCTTCTCATACCAAAATAGACTATTTAAGAAATGGCTTAGGGACTGTGGTTGGTAACATGGCTTGGTCTTATTGTAAATCTTCATACTGACTGATATGGCAGCGTTTATATTTTAATGCCTGCGCAACGTGGTAGTTTTTGGTTGCTAATGGTGAGGATACTCATTATACTTATAAAGTAAATTTAGAGATTAGATTATAGCTTATAGAGTGAAAATAATTATTTTTAGATAGTTTTTAAATATATTTGGAGTTAAAACATTATTAACATAAAAATTAGATCAGGACAGTAGTGGTAAAAGAGACTTTCTTAATTGGAAGGCAGCAGTGCCTGGGACCTACAAGGCCAAGACTTTGTTAGCTGTGGCTGATTTTTAAACATGAACTGTTTTTCACTATTAATAGTATGGATGAGAAAGTGAAAGTGGGGGTGAGAACATGTATGTGGATATACTGTTAGATTTTAGGTGGAAAATGGTGTTCCTTTTTGAGTGTATGATTTCAGGAAATCTGAGTTTAAGCTCTTGTGAGATTTTTTTCCCCCTATAAATCTAATTTACTTCCGGGAAGTCAGTAATAAACTTGTGTTATCAGATAAATGTGACAGGAAAATTAATTTTGTAATAACTAACTCCTTGTCATCATGGCTCTTAAACCTAATTAATATTTTTCCAACGAGAAAATGAACACCTTGTTTTATCTATAGAAATAATGAAAATGGAAAAATCAGTTTCTACCAGTTCAAAGATTTAGTTTACACAGTTAATATCCCTATGTAGTAGCTTTAATAGTTATTTAAAAATTGGCTATCTTAAATATGGTCAATTTTTTTCTGAAGAAAAACAACCATTTATATAAATATCTTTAGTATACATTGTCTTAACAGTACAACCTAAAAACTTGGGTGGAATTAGTCTTTTAAAGACTAACTATTTTTAAATGAATAAACTGTTTGGAATATATCTGCTTCTAGTTATGTTGAATAAGCTTTTCTAAACTCCATGATATGTGCGTGGCAGGGATGAGTCTGTCTGCATTTCTGATTAATTAAAAGGTAGTTTCGAGATCCTAAGTTTCATAGCCAAAATGAAATGTTTACTTCCGTAGTATGCGAGGTTGTGTTTAATTTTCATGAAAAATAAATATTTGGATGCATTTGTTCTATGTTTTATTATCAACATATTCTTTCATAAGACCTAGCTGATGGGCAAAGAAACTTTAGACTTGAAAGTCTTCTTCTTCTTAAGTTGTTGATGTCTATTAAGAGTAAAAGTGTTTCCCCCCCTAAAATCATACTGTTTTGAAACTCTGTAACCTATATTTGAGTAGGCTAAGGACTAGGTGAAACATGTTCGTTGGCCTCTAATTCCAAGAGTGATATGAACAAAGCTTGCCTGGAGCCTGTTTCATGAGTTGTTGGGTCTAAAATGTTTAAGACAAATTAGCATCTGGGCTCAGCGTTCAGTGAAATTAAATTACTGACAAACTGAAACTGGGAGGTCACGTAGTTATAGCTGTAGTAAGAAGTATGCAGAACAACTTGTTTCAGTGGAAACCACAAGTCTGTCAAAGCAAGGTGTGCCTAAGTAGTACCTGCGAGAATGCTTGAGTGTGAGCGTTGACTTTGCTTAAGAGCATTTCCCCTGATAATTCTATCTTGTTGGACCAAAAAACAAAGGGGGCCATTTGGCTCTGATGTGGTCTAAGTGCTAGACTAGCCTCCCAGATGAGGCATGGAAGCTGGCAAATGACTTCTTTAAAAATGTCGGCCAAGCTCTTTTGCCCTGAGATAGGATTTTTATTAAAAGAAGCAGATTTGAAGGAGCAAATGATTGCTTACTAAATAAAAATGCACTTTTTTTTTTTTTTAAAATATGTAATGTGGAGACTCCTATGGGTCAAAATTCTTGTCCTATCATTATTGTAGATTAAAGGTCTTGGCATTGGTTAGATCAGTGGTTTTGAGCTGGGGACAGTTTTGCCCCCCAGGGATGGCTGGCCATGTCTGGAGATACTTTTGGTTGTCATAGCAGCTACGATGACACAGACATCTAATGGGTCAGATGTGCTGCTAAACACCCTTTAATGCAGCCCCACAACAAAGAATTTTCCTACTCCAAATATTAATAGTACTGGGTTCAGAAATTCTGGCTTAGATTTAGAATTTTCCTTATTCTCTCTCTGCCAGCACAATATTCCTGTGGAAATGAAGGATACTGACAGATGCTTTTGACATTCTGCTAAAACGTAACTTTTTATTTACTGACATACAATTCATACATTTCGGTGTCACTGTGTTTGTCTAATGGAAAGGCTCCTTGTAATTTATCTGAAAGTGTGGTAATATGTGAGTACTTTGAGATTATTTTGCACATAGGTATACATTAAATTTAACAAAAGTATGGCAAACTATCTGATTATTTTAAATGCTCTATCATAACTCAGCTGTTGAGACCGCATCTAATAGGGCGCATAGACCTGTCGTTGGCCTTTGTTACAAATACAATCTAACCATGACTTAGAGCAAATAGGGAAGGGCAGTTGATAGCCTCAGTGTAGGCGAGTATGAAGTGCTTTTTGTTAGTGGACTGCAGTGAGAAATGTATAGTTGACATATGGAACTGAGGAGAATTTGTGTGTGTATGTGTGTGTGTGTGTGTGTGTGTGTAGAAAATGAGTGGCAGGAGCAGAAGCAATTAAAAGAACTATTGCTATTGAATAATCCAGGACTTAACTGCAACTATTTTCCTTTTTTCCAGCAATTTGAGATCTACAATTTATTACAATCTTCTCCACTGTCCAGGCTGAGTACTTGTTTTGGTTTTTTGTTTTTTAATTTTTAATTTTAATTTTTATTCAAAATTTTGAGAACAGGGTCTCACTTCTGTCCACCAGTCTAGAGTTGCATGGCATCAGCCTTGGGGCTCCCGACCTCAAGACTCCTGGGCTCAAGCAATCTCCTGAGCCCAGGGCCTCCAGAGTAGTTGAGTACTGCCCTTTACCCACCACTTCTAATTTCTTATTTTTGTAGAGGATGGGTCTTGCTCTTTGCTCGGGCTGGCTTTACTCCTGACCTTCAGCTGTCCTCCCACCCTTCGGGCCTCCCAAAGTGCTGCCATTACAGGGTGGGAGGTGCCCCCCCCCCCCCCCCCCAAAAAAAACGCGCCCCGCTTAGGGTACTCTTTTTTTTCTGTAATTATTATATTTTGTTCTGTTTTAACTGATCTTTTACTTTGTGGAGGCAGTTGTTTTAATTTCCAGTTATTGTCTGTTATTTCCTTTATTTGGGGTTATTATATATTCAAGGTTCAGGTGATGTTTTATTTTGATACCCAGGATTGGTAGGATCCATGTTATTTTCTTTCCAAAGGTATAAGCAAATTTATGTTAGTCTTCATGATTGGTGATTGAGTCTCCTCAGTTTGATGTTTGAACATTTTTTGTATGATGAATAGTGATAATCTGCTTCATTATCCATCATTTATAACATATGCCTATATGAACCACCACACACCATCCCAAGAGAAGAGGGTGGTGTGGGATTTCACAGGGCTGTCTTGTGTGCACCTTCACTATAAAAGGGTGTAGAGAACAGGCACAGTTGACCCACACGCACGTGCACAAGGCACTCTGGAGTGCTTCTGTGAAGTGGTCATGTCTTTTGGTGGCATCTCATGGAATTGTACTGCAAGCAGTTGCTTGTAGTAGAAACCAGCTGGGGGCACGAGTGCCAGAAGTCCTGTACTGGGGATTGAAGTCGGCGGAGGTAGGTTCACTGAAGTTTTAATTTTACATGTCGGCAATTTTGACTCAGAACTAAGTCCTTATTAAACCTGCTCTCTATAATGATTTCTAAGGCTGGATTTGAAAGATTGTAAACATGTTTCTTCTTTACCCCCCTTACCATTTCATCCAGTTTTACAGACTTCCTCAGATACATTCTGTTTCATATATAATTTACGATGGCATGCTTTTGAGGCACTATTTGTCATGTAAGAATTTTTTTGTATAGATACTCTATATGTTAGAGTATTATAATTTTGGTTACAGTAGCTTAAATAAACATTAACAATTGCGAGTTTTGTTTTCTTTAAATCTTTAAGAGTGAAGGTGGAGAATCAAGAATTATTTTTTTTATAACTGCTCGTTGGCCAAAGGAACGTATTGGAGCAAAATTAGCGGTTAACATATTTATTTGGAAAAATAAAGAGGCTAAATTGATATTTAAGGATGCAATGTTCTCTTAGCTTCAAGGGTGCTTTGATTTTGCTGCAGGACTGCTAAGTCACTTCCTAGGCATCAGGTTTCCCAGGATGGGCATCTGTTTTACCCAGGTCTGCCAAACTGGGCTTGAGGTGTGTAAGTGTAATTGTGTATTTTAAGGTTTTTGTATGTCAGTAAACTATAAACTTTGATTTCTTTAATTTCTTTTTTTTTCTGATTTAACCTCATTTTACATCTTTTTTTATGCAGTTTATTGTCTTTTAAAATGAGTTAACTTCTTTTTTTTTTTAAAGCAAGCTTAATGATTTCCAAACTTGGCTCTGCAACTTGAGCATGGTGACTTCCACCTGTCAACTCATGTTACTATTTTAAAATGTTCCCTTCCTACTAACTTATTAGAAGAGTATAAAACGAAAAGGGAAGTTTATTGCAATGCATATGAGTATGTCTTATCTCTTTCAGCCATTCTCTGGTGTTAGGTACTTACTGGGAGATGGGAACATTAGTTCTTCTGAGTTGCTTAGGTTCTGTTTAGGGCAGCAGCAAAAATGTATGGCCAAGTTTGTAGATATTCTTTAATGGTAATACCTAAGAGTTCTAGCTGCGGATGAAGGTGTTGGATATCAGGCAGGTCTGATGCTGGGACAACCCATAG